AACAGAAATGTACTTTTTTCTATATAAACAAAGCTTTGATGGATTAAGATTCTTGACTATCAAAATAGGGGAGGTAGCCGCAATATGAGAAATAGGTCCCATTAGTTTAGTCAGGAGAGAGGTCTAAAGTTTAAACATCGAATTGTTATCTACTTTTTGCGTATTCCACCATATCTCTGGAACAATTAAAACGATTTCAAGGTTTTTGCTCGCATTCAAAACTCTCATTTTTATGAAGTACGCACGTTTCATAAAAAAAAAGTATTTTTTTAAAATTATAATTGAAGTTAATAAACATAAAAATTTTAGTTATTAGATATATAAACTTTTATGATAATGAATTTTTCCAACTACGTAATTATAAAAAACAAAATCCTAAATGTGAAAGGTATCAATCCAAGTTCTCGAGAAATAAAAAAATTAAATCTACTGCACTTTATGAAATGTAATTACCCAGAAATTTATTTAATCTATTCTTCCAAATTTCAAATTTTTCTACTACTAATAACATGATTTTAAATAGTGTAAATTTTTAAATCCTTATAATCTAAAAATTTCTCAATTATTATTAAATTAATGAAAAAATACTAAAATTATTCTTTTCATAGAATTATCTTTTAAAAAATAAGTCTTACATTTGTATGCAAAAACTTTCATATTCGCTTAAATAGTTCCAGCAGGATTGCTAAAGACATAGAGAGCTAAATTAACATTAAAAAGGTTAAATATTTGATCGTTTTCCTGAATTAAAAATTAGGATAGTATTTTCCAAATTGCGGCTAATGCCGTTAATTGAGATTCAATAATTAAAATCAGTCGGAAACGGGTGTTTATACAAAAAAAAGTATGTTTTCATAGTTTGCAATTTGAAATATCACCTGCGCAAAATAATATTTAAGTCTAATCCTTCAAATAATTAAAATTACATGTTAGTACACAAAAATCTTATCAATAGATTAAGAGTCTCGGTTGATCCAGTTCTCTATTTTGTGCAATGTACAAGCAATCATGTTATCAGCTATCATTCAAAAAACAAGCTTTATAATTCTGAATTAAAACTTTCAGATTAGCTTAAATAGTTCCAGCAAAATTGATAAACACATAGAAAGCAAAATTAACATAAAAAGGGTGAAACATTTGATCATTCCCCTGAATAAATTATGGGACCATATTTTCTGAACTGCAGCTACTTTTATTATTTGAGGATCAATACTTAAAATCCATTGGAAAAAGAGTGTTTATTCAGAAAAAGTACGTTTTTATAGTTCGTAATCAAAAAATATCGTTTGCACAAATAATTATTTAAGGCTAATCCTTTAAATGATTAAAATTACATGTTAGTAAACAAAAATCTTATCATTAGATTAAGAGTTTTGGTTGACCCATTTCCTTATTTTGCACACTGTATAAGCAATTACATAGAATTAATTAGAGTTAAAAAGAATTGTTAGAGTTGAATTAGATGTAAACTTACAAAAAAATAACATATTTTCACATAAATGTGAATATTAAGTTTATTTTTTTTTTCAGTTCAACATAACAAAATTTTTTTAAATTTTAACATGATAAAATATCTATATTTGTTTTTATAGAAAATAATGCTGCATGAATAGCATAATGAAAAACTTGCACAGACAATTTTTTATGTTCGTTTAAAATAAGTTACTTAATGTTAGATGGGTGAATTTGAAACTGAAATCATTTTAAAAATTAAATTAAAATTGATCATTGTTGATGATCAAGATTAATTCTTGTATATGTCTTGTATACTTGTTTTAATAGTCAGCATCTCGAAGGAATTAAAATTTAGACCTATGATTTTCTATATTAATTTTTAAAAAAGAAAATATTTTCTTTTTAAAAAATTAGTATAGAAAAAAAAAGAATATAGCTCAAAATAAAGAAACAAAAACATAAGAATACAATTCAAAAGAAACAAGATCTCAAGTATCTATCATTTTAAAAAACATTAACGGCATTGTTTCATTTTCCATAATAGCATCATCTTAAACTCATCTAATTTTGGCATGAAATTCGTTAAATTTTGTTAGGTCTTTATATAATATTCCTGAATTAAATATAAGATAGAGCTTTAATTAAATTTAAGTTATTACTATTAATTAAATTTAAGTTAAAATACACTATACTATTAACTATTAATTAGTTATAAATATACTATTAATTAAATTTAAGTTAAAATATACTATACTATTAACTATTAATTAGTTATAAATATACTATTAATTAAATTTAAGTTAAATGTAATCATAATAAATGCATTTATTATGATTACATTTAACTTAAATTTAATTTGGGAAATAGATATTCTTAAAAATTTCAGAACTTAATCAAGATTTTCCTTTGAGAAGGTGCTATAAGATGCACAAATGATGGAAGTAACCATTTAACACAGTCTAAAAATTTATTCAGGCTGAATAGTAGCAATAAATGCTTTATATGCCCCAGCCAGTCAAAAGGACGCTGAATGATCAAAAATATAATTTAAAAAATGCAATTAAATTAAACTTTAAAAAATAAACCTCTTTTTTTTCATTTTGGTGTTTAGAATTTTAAGTTAAAGAATTTTAAATAATAAAGTTATTTTAACTAAAATTGATAAAATCATAATAAATTAAAAAATGACTACGATTTTTATCAACATGACTTCATACTGTGTGAACAACACAAAACTTGTAGTTTATGAGTATCAGGCTTCAAAGGTTGGCATGAGAGGAAAAATCAGACTCGATCTTAAATGAAATTTTGTTGACTTAGAAGACAAGTTTTATAATCCAAGATTAACTGTTTTTTGTTGCTGTCAAAAATATAATAATTTCGCATGTTTTTGGATCTCATCTTCCAAAAAAGTCATTTTTAAAAAGGATGACACATATTTCATTGTTGAAATGTAACTTTGTCTAAAATTTGATTTACAAGTCTCATATTTTGTAGAAACGACAAAATTTTTAACATTACAAAAAACCCATTAGAAATTTATTTCATGCATATGTATAACAAAACACATATTTTTGGAACATCAATATATTCTACTAGAGTCAATCCTTTAAAATGTCATGTACTTCAAAATTAAGCTGCAATTTTAATTTAGTGCAAATTAAAAGTTCAAATTTTAGATAAAAATGTGATTGAAGTTTAATGCTAAACAGGATGATTCAGAAATTAGTTTATTTGCATCATGAAATTTATAATTTCAGAAAAAAAACATTAATATTTTCTACAAGAGACAAACTTTGAAATGGCACCATACACTTTAAAATTGCTCTATCACTTAGTTTGAAAGCAGCAATCAAAATAACTTGTATGTAGAGAAAATATGCCTGAATGTAATATTAAATAATGTTTTTGAATCTATTTTAGTGGAAAATAAAACTGAATTTTAATGTTAGAAAGAACATTTTTTAAAAAAACCATATAAAGTTAACAATTAGACATGCACTGTAGAATCATTTAAGTAAGTGGTAGTAAATTATATTTTTCTTCAATTTATATAAAGTCACAGATTTATTTTGTATAAATGCTATTTTTAACTTTTTTTTATTGTATTCAGTATTTTGTCTCCTCTCTGACACAGAGATCTGGTTTTCGAATAACAATAATATCATGAAACAAACCACCTACTTTTTATCTGCTTTCTTTAAAAATTTTATAAGAAATTCTTAAAGCACATTTTAAACCAAACTTTACATAAAATGAAAATCTTCTTCTATTGGCATGATAGCCCTTTGTGGGCCAGAACCTTCCTCCATTCTGCTCTTTTCTTTGAGATTTTTCTCAAGATAGATTCTTAGGATTTTAAAACCCTCTTCGTCAAATTGAAGCCATTCGATCTTAGGCCTCTACCTCTAACTCTAGTTCCCATTGGTTTGTAATTAAAAATCTTAAATGTCAAGGAAGAAGGGTCCATTCGACAGACGTGAGCAGCAATCTTTAATTTACTTATTCTGATATATTTGTTGATATCAGCTTCTTTGAATAGCTATATAGCCCGAAATTATGTCCTCTCCATAAGCCATCCACATTCATACCAACGAAAGTTTTTCTCAAGGCTTTTCCTTCAAAAATAACAAGCAGGTTTGCTACTGATTTAGTTAAAGACTGTGTTTCAGATCTATAAGTTAAGACAGGTCTAATCATAGTTTTATATATATAGCATTATCTTTGTTCATCATTCAATTAATTTTGACTTTAGAAATGTACTTAAGCCATGAAGCATCGATTAGCTGCTCTAATGTGTCTCTTTATTTCTGTGCTTATATCGTTTAAGGCATTAATATTTGAACCAAGATAAGTGAAATTGTCAGCAAGTAAGAATTTAGAATTTCCGGTTTCTAAAAATTTGTAATTTGCAGGTGTTTTAACAATTGGCATGTATTTGGTATAATATGAACATCGCATCTCGAAAACTTATTCAGACTATATCAACTCAATTCTTATGAGTTACAATGAATAAATTATTTCTTACTTTTTTGTGAAAAACCATACAAATCCTTTCCTATATATATAAATCTTCTTAGAAACTATTAACTTTGAAACTTGAATTTTAATATGCCTGAAGGATTATTTATTAAAAGTGCCAAATCTATACGCTGCAATACTTGTGAATGATATCATTATGTGTTGATAGTACTCTACCTATGACATGTTTGCATTGGTATCCTATATGAAAGCTATTTACAGTCTAAAACATTTTTTTTATTTATAGAAAGTTTTTATTTACAGAAATTTCATATTATATTTAAATTTGTATTTATCTGGTCCTTTATTGGAAAAAATTGGATATTTAAAATTGATTAGTAAAACTTTTTCTCTTAGTATAACTTAGATTGATAAGTATAACTATTACTCCTGAACTCTGTCACTGTACTACTTTACATATTTTTTTTAATTTGAGATGTCTAAATATAACGATATAAAGTATAAAGTTCACTGAACACCAGTGCATAATGAGGGAATCAAAATGGAAGCTAAATAACACTTACTACTTTTAAATCTTTAGCCAAAAATGAGTGACAAAATTGTAGATTGTAAGGTCCATTAGGCTCACGGGCAAGAAAAGAAAATTGATGATGTTCTGGATCACATGTTGCAAATGAGATTCGACGTAAAGCATGAGCCATTAGGACACTCTAAAGAGAGAGATATATTAAATCATTTTTTTATAAATTGTAGACATTAAACATTAAAAATATTATTATTTCTAAAGATGCACTATAGCTTAAGTGATAATACACTTTTCTTTATAATTATAATTTTCCTAAAAAAGACAGCTGATTAAATATATATCTTATAAAACTAAACTCAGTGGCGCGACAGCCCATAGAGGGCGACGGCCTACTGTGCCCATCTCAGTTTTCTTGACCTTGGGCTCTGGGGTGCAGGAGCAGATGTTCCGGTCAGGTGGTCAGCCGAACGCGGAACCCCCAGTGTTTAGTTCCCAAGCATGCTTGGTACTCATTTATCGACCCATTGAAGGGATGAAAGGCTGAGTCAACCTTGCCCGGCCCGAGGATCGAACCAGGGACCTGTGGCACGACAGCGCGAATTGCTACCGCTCAGCCACCGGGCGTCATATATATCTTATACTAAAAACAAAAAAAAGAACATCCTCAAGATCAAACTTTCTATCTCAAGCTTTAATTCAATTTTCAACACTTTTTCTTACTCAAGATAAAGTATGTTTTATATATAATTTTGCAATTAATACTTAATAGTAATGAAGTAGCAGTTCAGAAATGGTCTTTTGAACCATGAAAATTGCCACTTACAAAGGCAGGTTGATAAGGAATAGATTGGTCTGAAGCAAAATTTCTTATAACACTGAAGAACATTCTTTTGCTATTATGAAAACATTGGAACACTAGATTGAAATATATTTAAAATCATTATCATAATTACAGTTTTTTATAATACAATTTTTCAACTTTATTTTAAAAATAGAAAACAAACCAATCTGCACTTTATTATTTGTTGTTAATAATATCCTTTGTTTGACTAGATAAAAAACTTCAAAATTACCCAGAACAGGTTGCCTAGAAACTTATTCATCTTTTAGATCAGTATTATATGTATTTACTATTTGGGTCATTCTCACAAAAATATTCACTTCATTGTCTCCAATGTACTTTACGATTGGATTAAGATTTAAGCATTAGAATGCATTTTAAAAATAATAAAAACGAAATAATTATTTTTATATTTATATTTATCGTATGCAACGAAAATACATGTCACTCTTTTAGTTGTCTCCACTATTGAATTAAAATAAAAAAATTATTTCTGAGAAAATGAGAAACAAGTTTATAAACTTGTATTTATAATTTTAGATTGCTAAAATATAGAATTCAGAAAATAAATATTAAACTGATTTTTTGTAATGAATATTGCTACAGTATTGTTATAAAATTTGTGATTAGTGTGTTGCATCATTCACTCACAACAATATATTAACCCTCCTAAATCCTTGCAGAATAAAACTGCAGGTATTTTATTTCAAAAATCAATTAAGCCTAACTACTACTTTTTAAATTTTATTAAATTTTTCTTTAACTAATGCATAAATTAAATAACAGAGTGAAAATGATGGGTGTTTCTGGAAGATTAACTAAAAAAAATAAGTCTATATAGCTTAAAATATTTTTCTTCTCTTTTCCTTAAATGTAATTAGAATTCCCTGTTTTTTGTTTGTTTTGCATTAGTCTACTAGTTTCTATGTGCTTGATTCATAGTTTATTTCTTATTCTTTTTTTTTCAGCATCTCACTGATGGTATTTGTCATCAATTGTCAACAGCACACCCTTTTTTGAGCTTTTGAATAATTGGTATATTTTTGAACCTTAAATCAAGACAACTTTCCTATTCTGAGTTTTAATATTATCCTCAGAGACATATTCATCGTATGCAAATATCCCAGCATGATATGTTATTCCTATTTGGTTTCATAATTAAGTGTTTTTAAACAGCTTTCTGATCTATTAAATAACACTTTTCAACTTGATACAGTAAATTAAGTTGAGATGCCAAAAATATCACAAACAGTGCGCAAAATGTGATTAAAAAATTTAAAAACACACACTCACTTCTTTGTGAGAAAAAATATTTTATTGCCAATGCATATATGAATATAAGAGTAGAAAAAATTATGAAACCTAAAAATATTTTTATGGGGAGGAAAAGAATATTCAACACAAAATACATGATACACTATAAACCTTTAACAGTTTAAATATATTCTACAAAACTTATTGTCACATAGATTACAAATCAAAAAAAGTTGATAGAAATTGAAAAATTTTAAATTCCTGCAAGGAGAAAGTTCAAATGATAAAAGTGTTTTAAGAATTTATTTTATAAAAGGTAAGGTGACAAATTAAAAAAGAATTTGTAAATTAAAAAAAAAAGAAAAAAGTTAAACCCAGAGACAAGCAAGCAATTTCAGAGTTCTGAAGAAAATAAATAAATAAATACTCACTTAAATAAATCCTTACTGAAAGCTATGTATAAACAAGATATGTTTCATGTAGTGAAGCAAATAAAAAATACACATTTTAAAAAATAATTGAGACAGTTTAAGTTATACAAATAAGTTTATATTAAACAAAACAAAAAAGTGTTAAATTCTAATACTCTTAACAATGATAAACTAAATTATTCTTATTAATAATTTTTAAAAGCAGAAAACAAAGAGTTTAAATTGAAAAATACCTATGAATTGCTTGTAGTTAAAATAACAAAATCTATATTGTAGCTAATTTAAAAAATAAAAGCACAGTTCAGTTACTACTTACCTTCCCATCCAAAGTGCAAACTTTGATCCCAGTTGGTGAAATAACCAGGAGAACACTTCGTTTTGGTCCTGCATCCTAATGTAAAACAAATATTAAATACATTTTACAAAAAGTAAGTGGATGAGTAAGCATATTATAAGATTGTTTGAACTTCTGCAGGAGATTAAAATGGTATTAATCAAATTACCATTTCTTGATATAAAAAACTAAATTAACTGCTTTGTTCTAGAGGAAAGTATTTAAATCAATTAACAGGGCAATCAATTAAGAAGGTCATCTCAGAATTGAAGGGAAAAAATTTTAAGTTTAAATTTTTATAAATTACATGAACTATTCTAGTGTCAAACATTTTTAATCGCTATTTTGAAAAATTTGATAATTGAAAATGAGTAACTCATATCAAATATTTGTTAAAGAAACTTTTTATTGTATTTATTTTATTTTCTCAAATAAAAAATATTATGAGTAGTTTTTTTAGCCTAAAAATTCTGTCCTACACATTTAATTTAATTCTTGTGAGTTGTACCTCTGTTACCTTTCTTATTAACTTAGCTTCATTTCACACACAGTAAATACATTATGCATCTCATATTAAATCAATTTTAAAAAGAAGTGCATGCATATTGTTTGTTATTCTGTTTCTGTGAGATATAATAAACTGTTAGATTAATAAGAATCTTTATTATATCTTATTATCTGTAAGTTTATATTTCTGAATTTATTATATTCTATTATCTATTTCTGAATTTATTATATCTTATTATCTATTTCTGAATTTATTATATCTTATTATCTGTAAGAATAATAAGATATAATAAATTGAACATAATTATACTCATATCTAAATTCCCAATTAATTACAATTACTATTATCAGTACAATGACATAATAAGTCATAAACTAAACTAAACTCAGCGGCGCGACAGCCCTAGAGGGCCAAGGCCTACTGTGCCCATCTCAGTTTTCTTGACCTTGGGCTCTGGGGTGCAGGAGCAGATGTTCTGGTCAGGTGGTCAGCTGAACGCAGAACCCCCAGTGTTTAGTTCCCAAGCACGCTTGGTACTCAATTATCGACCCACTGAAGGGATGAAAAGCTTAGTCAACCTTGCCCGGCCCGAGGATCGAACCAGGGACCTGTGGCACGACAGCGCGAAGCGCTACCGCTCAGCCACCGGGCGTCATAGACTTAGAGGTTGGGCAGCTCTGACGAGCAGGGCACATTGACCAGAGGTCTATTGTACCCAAACCCTAGTCATGATTAGCAAGAAAGCCCTATAGCTGAAATAAAGTTCAGCAAGCACCTTACAGGAACATCTTGCAGTTCTCAGGCATTGACGCAATGTTGCCCTAGATGCTCAAATCTTTGAGCAGAATAGACATCACAATCACAAAGTATGTGTCGTGATGTCTCTTCTTCTAGATGACATCCCCGACAAAGAGAATTGGATTCTATTCCCATAATGTTTAGGTGTCTCCTGAGGATACAGTGACCAGTAAGAAGACCTATGCTGCTCCTTATACTGTTTCTATTAAGCTTTAAGAGCTCCTTTTGACGTACACTAGGACAGTCTCGATTCAGCTCCTTAGCTTGTCTCTGACCGTCAGCAGCGCGCCATTGCTCATGGGCGATCTTGCAGTAGAGCTTGAAAATGGTTGCCCTAAATGAGGAGGGAGAAATTCCCAGAGCAGGTTCAGCGCCCCAGAAAATTGCATTAGAGCCAACCCGTGCTGCTTCATCAGCTAGCTCATTTCCACCGATACCCATATGTCCTGGTACCCAATGCAGGGATACCTTGTTATGAGTGGACAGGNTTTCTGAATTTATTATATCTTATTATCTATTTCTGAATGTATTATATCTTATTATCTGTAAGAATAATAAGATATAATAAATTAAACATAATTATACTCATATCTAAATTCCCAATTAATTACAATTACTATTATCAGTGCAATGACATAATAAGTCATAAAATAAACTAAACTCAGCGGCACGACAGCCCTAGAGGGCCAAGACCTACTGTGCCCATCTCAGTTTTCTTGACCTTGGGCTCTGGGGTGCAGGAGCAGATGTTCTGGTCAGGTGGTCAGCTGAACGCAGAACCCCCAGTGTTTACTTCCCAAGCATGCTTGGTACTCAATTATCGACCCACTGAAGGGATGAAAAGCTTAGTCAACCTTGCCCGGCCCGAGGATCGAGCCAGGGACCTGTGGCACGACAGCGCGAAGACCTACCGCTCAGCCACCGGGCGTCATAGACTGACGAGCAGGGCACATTGACCAGAGGTCTATTTTACCCAAACCCTAGTCGTGATTAGCAAAAAAGCCCTATAGCTGAAATAAAGTTCAGCAAGCACCTTACAGGAACATCTTGCAGTTCCCAGGCATTGACGCAATGTTGCCCTAGATGCTCAAATCTTTGAGCAGAATAGACATCACAATCACAAAGTATGTGTTGTGATGTCTCTTCTTCTAGATGACATCCCCGACAAAAAGAATTGGATTCTATTCCCATAATGTTTAGGTGTCTCCTGAGGATACAGTGACCAGTAAGAAGACCTACGCTGCTCCTTATACTGTTTCTATTAGGCTTTAAGAGCTCTTTTTGACGTACACTAGGACAGTCTCGATTCAGCTCCTTAGCTTGTCTCTGACCGTCAGCAGCGCGGCATTGCTCATGGGCGATCTTGCCGTAGAGCTTGAAAATGGTTGCCCTAAATGAGGAGGGAGAAATTCCCAGCGCAGGTTCAGGGCCCCAGAAAATTGCATTAGAGCCAGCCCGTGCTGCTTCATCAGCTAGCTCACTTCCACCGATACCCATATGTCCTGGTACCCAATGCAGGGATACCTTGTTATGAGCGGACAGGTCACAGAGGACCGAGACCGGGCGTCATAATAAGTCATATTACAATATAAAGCTCATGAAAAAAATAATAATAATAAAATTTTTCAATGCAATTGAATTTTTAATGCAAGATTAATTAATGAGTACATTTTTGTGCAAAAATTGCATTAAAATTACTTAAAATTGCTTTCTTTATGAAAAAAAACTTTTTAATCACTAGACAAAGCCGGAAAAAAATATATCATTAAATAAAAAGTAGAATTACAAACCAAACCAAAACATGACCTTTACAAACCAAAACATGATAAAATAATACAAATAAAATTAAAATAAATATACCCTTAAATGCTTCAGCTGAACTCTAACAAACTCTGTTCGTTCATTTTGATCACTCCCTGACACATGAAAGCTTCCTACATACTAAGAAATTTAAAAGAAACCTTAAGACATCAGGAATTTTTTTATTTTTTTTTTAAAAACTACAAAAATACAGCATTTAATAAAATATAAAAATGAAAATATGCATGTTTTCGACGGCATAGATAGTTGTCCCCCTTTTCCATCTGGGAACATGGACTTTTTTTGTAAAAGAATAGTAACATTTCATTTAAAAAATTTATAAATGTGAGAACAAATTCTCCCCAAAGTGTGACATTTGTGTCCCTTGCCTTCATTCAATTTATTTTTCTTACAATGAATTTTTCTTTTTGAAAATCTATTAAAACATTACACATTTTAAAAGCAATAAGTTTATTATATCATAAATATTGACTAACAGCTAGATCTGAGTGCATAAAAAAACTCTTCTGTCCCCTTATCCAAAACCTTATAGTCAGATATTTAAAGCAAATTTTCAATATAAATACAAAGAACAATAAATATACCTTGTATATATTTTTGTTGCTAATTATTAAGGATATTGGATATACATAATATATACTATAGCATGTGCATCCTTTAAAGTTAAGAGTAACACATGCCATATTTCTAAATTGAATGAGAAAAAATAAATTAAATTATTCATCTAGCAAATAACAGGAAATAAAGAAAAAAACTTAAAGTCAAGGAAGTTGAATGTACTATAAAATAGACAGTTCACATAATTAAAAAGTTATGTTGTAAAAAAAATAATAATCCAGATTAGCATGAGAGAGAATGAAAAAAGTGGAGTGAGTATAAGTAGGTTTAAAACCTGTTTACCCGGGTGAGTTTTCATCATTTCAGTTTGTTTAGAGGAGAATTGGTATGCCACATATGCTGTACCTTAGTATGACTGGGGAATATAGCGAGAAATATCAATTTAACCCACTGTCTCCATATTGATATTTTATTTTATTTTATAACTGCCATTGAACAGCCGACCCAATTTTGGGTTTACGACTACTAATGTTCAACTCCGTAACCTTGTAATTTTGAACCAGATCCAGAAGACAAGGAAACTCATGGATCAGAATCCCCACAGGTGATTTGTTAAGGAAACATGGGGGACTTTGTGATCCAATTAATTTAATGTGCACCAGTCACTATTTACTACATGGGGAGACTTCGACCAGCAGAGATTGAACCCACAACCTCTTGGACATGGGCCCAGTTCTCTACCAACCAGGTTATCCCAGCCTCACGCTGATATAGTAACTTTCCTTTTTCTTAATGCATGTGAAATCTGATTAATGCAGCCAAAAAACACTTCAATATATATATGTAAAGATTTCCAGCCAATGTTCCACTAGTGATTCACTGTTACAGGCACCCCTTGACAAAGATGCAGTTGGTTTCTTCATAAAAAATCATGGCTTTATATTTGATTGAGCACCAGAGTGTTGAACATGATGTACCCAGTTTAGTTTTGCATTTTTGTTCTTCTTTTTCTAGTGAAAATAATCTACATGAATGAAAAAAAAAATATTTTCAATGGAACTTCGGTAATTTTGCGATTCTTTGCCGAGCATTATCGCATCGTTTTGAACACAATCTATTTATGAAAAATAATTAGGCATCAAAAAAAATTATTTGTTAATTCTTTTTTTTTAAAAATATTAGGCTGTGCAATTTAATAATAGCATTTTGGTAGCTTACTTTTATGTTAAGTTTGTTCATTTACACCTTCTCTTTTTATTTAAAAAAAATCTTTAAGCAAATGTAAGTATAATAATATGATTGAATTTGGATAATTTTTCTCAAAATTCTCAGTATAATCAGAATTTAGATGCTTGAATTGATATTTTTAAAAAGTTAAAACAAAGCTTCATCATCATCAATAATGGCATGACAGTCCAGAGTAGGCCAAGTGCTTCTGAACCAGGGGTTTCCAGTGATGATGATATGATGTATTCTAAATTATATTACAAAATTCGAAAACAAGACTTTGAGAAATATGCAACAATGCAAAGATAAAGAAAAAATGGGATTTTTTTTTAGAATATATCAAAAACACAAGTAAGAATGGAAAAAAATTATGCTCAAGCTCAATTAACAGACCAATTTTTTTCAGAAAAATACTGAACTACAAAATAATGTCAGATTGAAAATCTAAAAATATAGTTGCCACTCAAAATTTATTAGTCACCAATGTCAACCCTGCATTCGTGTTTCCTAAGCCCTAGTCACTACTGTCCCTGAATCATAAAGAGTACAAAACTAAAAATATATATATTATATATGAACACACAAATTGTAATTTGGAAAAGTTTCCTCAGCATGATCTGAGGCAGAATAATCATCAAGTCTTGGCAAATTCTGGGAAGCTGCCACTCAGAAATTAAACATCATACAAAAGAACCAACTCGAAGGGTGTAACTGGTAGCCATCCCTGGGCAAACTTCTACATATATTTCTTTTAAAAGTTTGCAAGTTAAAAATCCTTATGGAACAACAGATTACAAATGCGGAAATATCCTCTAGAAATTGTGAAAAATTCATGATTTTGATAAGCTTTCAGGGGTTATTTCCGTATCATGATCTATCAAACCAACTACAATCGCTGAAGTGCTAAATGAATTTGATAAACTTGCACCTTTTTTTTAAGAAAAACATATAAATGTTTGCTCAGGGGTGACTACGAGGGAGATTTCCGTCTCGTGATCAGTGGAAGAATGATCACCAAGTCTTGGCAACTTCCGAGCTGCGGCCATCGACAAACTAAAAAAATAAATTACAGAACGGGACCAACTCAAAATGTATAACTCGTAGCCACTAGGCAAACATCTACATGTTTGTTTGTTTTTACAAAACTTGCAAGCTTAAAATTTATTTGGCACCTTGGTGATTGTGGCTGGTGCGAAAGATCACGATGTGGAAATATCCCCTGGCTACGAGTTATACTTTTCGAGTTGGTCCCTTTCCCATATTTTCGGTCACTATGTTTTTTGCTTCTCTTTTTCTTTTTAAGTTTCTCGCAGGTCACTGCCCGGAAGTTGTCAAGACTATTATTCTGCCACAGATCACGATACGGAAATCTCCCCTGCTTTTATAGTATTAAACTAAAATTATTTACCTCACATACACGAATTGTTGATTCACAGTTAATATTGATATCAGAATCAAACTTAAGTATACGACTGAAACATGATCCATCTGGCAAATCCTTAATACCGCTTGAATTAAATATTATCTTCTTATTACCAAACAAAGAATCATGAGATAAAACATTAAGTTTAGTCAATATTTTTGTAGCAAAATTATTATCCATCATTACACAAGTTCATGTCAGCACGAAATATTTCCCTAAATAATAAATTATGCAAAAAAAAAAACATTAATTCAAATTCTAAAAAATGTGATTAATTATTTAAGTTCAAAAAATGTTTTATGTTACAGTGAAAATTCAATTATATGGAATACAAGTTATTCAGGCTAAAAGAAAGGTAATATTGAACTTTTCTTTTGCATTTCTACTGTTTATTTAGATTCAAACGCTTTTAAGTGCTTGTTTCTGCTTTTATTTTAACCTAAAGTCGTGCTGAAACTGCTGCGAATTTTCATTTAAAAAAATATTATACTTGGTAAAGTTTCACTAACGCCTAAATTTTAGAGCATTTTGTGAAATGCCTAAATTTAAGAATTATTAATTATTTTTGTGAAATGCCTAAATTTACGCCTAAATTTAAGAGCATTTTGATTCCTACTGCGACAAAGTTGAGTGGCAAAAAATTAGAAAAGGAGGTAGTTGTAGGAGGAGGTAGCAGTGATAAGAATTTGAAAATAGAGATACCTCTGCTGAAGGGGTCTCCGCTTTGGTAGCCCAACGACCTGCGTTCGAAGTCGATCACTTTATGGTAGTTCAGTTTTAGAAAAACTGATCCCGCATTCCCTCGGTCCATTCGCAGACTGATTTAAGTTATTACCCATTTACCCACCCTCGCACTAACCGCTACTCGTGATTGATGATTAAAAAAGGCGAGACAACCAATCGTTCATTGACAAAAAACTCTAATTTGATTGCCAAAGAACCAATTACATTAGATGCAATTTTCGAATGCGAAAAAAGTGAATGCTAACAGAAACCGGTTGGTAAATTTTTCGCAGGAAATATTTTATTCCAATCTCGCTTTCATTCGAAATCGAAAAACTCGCATCCAATAAAAATGGTCCTATATATCACACTAGGGAAGAAATCTTAAGTGTTTAAGGTTTCAAAATGGGAAGAAGACTTTCCAACCTTGTTCCTGCTCACGACTAGTCCTAATCTCCTTCTTTTTTGCCTTGGCGCTTCTTTTAAGCAGCTGCTGGTTGATCGGGACTTTCTGCAGATATATGGGGAACTGACGCGACGGGGCCTTCTTGACCTGGTCGATAGGGCCGGCCGCACACTGAGGAGGGGGATGTCCTGGGGGATGTGTAACACTAGGGGATGTAACACCTGGGGGATGTGTGACACTAGGGGGGCATTCTCCTAGGGAGACTATGGCCTCTTTGAGAAGTTTACAATTCATGCCATCCCTTGCCTTCTGGGTTGGGTTGTCATATATCTGAGAGTTCTCTTATCTTCTGAGTTGGGTTTAAATTACAAGGCTATGGAGTTCAATATTGATTGTAGTAAGCTCAGAATTAGGTTCGCTGTTCAACATCAGTTATAAAATATGCAAGAAAAACTACTCACAGTAAAAGTATAATTTTTTGGCAGCCACGTACTCTAGTGTCTAAAAGAAGAGAGACCCTTCGAAACTTTCAGAAAAGTAACATTTTTTTCATTCAGCATTACTAATGCGAACTTTTGAATGACCAAGTTGTAGCTGTAACATCAAAAGATTTAGATAAGAGACACTAGTTTCTCCCAAATATTTTCTGAAACTTCGGAACATTTTTAATAACTTTTCTCCCCTCCCCCTCCAAAAAAAAACTACTTTTTGTTCATTAAAAATTTCAGATGCTTTTAGTTTATGAGCATTTAACGGTGCACATTGATAAACTCCTCAAAAGTGGAAAATGCTATGAAAAATTAAGGGTACAGCTCTATCCATCCTCGGAAGTTCCTACCTGGATTTAACCCCATAATTATCTCACACCACCTGCCTTCGATTAACTACCCTCCTATCAGCTCAAGATCGACTGCCGCATTAAAATTTTAAGCGTGTGCGCCAGAATAGCGAAATAAAGCCAAATCTAGATGGATGAAACTGATGGCCGCCTTCTTATGAATCACTTGTAAAATAGTCGTCTTCAATGATTTGTAGTTACAAAAATTTTGCAGCTAAGAACATGCGAAAAAAATGGCGATGCCGAATAAAAACAAATATCAGTCAAATATCTGTACATAAAAAATATTTCTTAATGTGTGTGTGTGTTTTTTTTTAAAAATTTAGAACTGCAATGTAAAAATTATTTTCACAATTAAAAATTTTCTTTATACATTTCTAATATGATTAATTATTAATTTTATAGGATGGTCGAATTCTGCTAATTAACTTTGTGAAAGTTTTCATGAATAATTTTTTTGAATTTAAAGAATTAATTTTTAAAAATTTTAATGTTGAAGTTATAAATGCTGTTGATAGAGGATAAAAAATTAATCCGATCAAAACTATTGTAATTTATCATTTCTTAA